TTGGTAGCCCAGGCTGGCCTTGAACTCACAGAGATCCGCCTGGCTCTGCCTCCCGAGTGCTGGGATTAAAGGCGTGCGCCACCACCGCCCGGCGCTGTTTTTTGTTTTTTGGAGACAGGGTTTCTCTGTGTAATTTTGGTGCCTGTCCTGGATCTCGCTCTGTAGACCAGGCTGGCCTTGAACTCACAGAGATCTGCCTGGCTCTGCCTCCTGAGTGCTGGGATTAAAGGCATGAGCCACCACTGCCCAGCTAAAATTAACATTTTTATAACTGTAAATGCTAAGCCTTAGCCTTCTAGCATTCACTTAATTTCCTCTTCTGAGTAGTTTTCCCCGTACTTAGTTGCTGCAGTGGTCTAAAAGAGACTGTCTACCATCACTGGCTCATATATTTGAATACTTATCCCCAGTTGTACAACTATTTGGGAAGGATGAGGAGATGTGGCCTTGGAGGAGGTTATTATAGGGTCAGCCTTTGTGTCTTAAAAAGCTTCCTGCCATTCCCAGTACACTGTCGCCTGCTTGTGGTTTGAGATGTGAGCTCTCAGCTATTCCAGCAGCCATCATGGACTCTATGCAACTGTAAACCCAATAAAATGCTTTCTTTTACAAGTTGCCTTGGTCATGGTGTTTTATCAAAGCGGAAGAAAAGTAACTAATGGCTATTTGTTTTCTTTATAGCTTATCTAGTTTTGAACATACTTGTTGGTGATTTACTACAAACGCATGACTATCTAAATATACTTACTGTATCTTCATACAGTAAACATCTTGCCATTTTCCAACTGTTCCCCCCAGAAATTTCTAATCTATTCCCATGACATCTGTTATCTATAACCAATAACAGTATTATCTAATCAGTTTATCTACTTTTTACTTTTCTCTCTACTTTTAATACATTACTTTTATTTTTCAGCCCTTCCATTTAGCTCTTACTTATTTTATACTTGCTAAATAGTCAGACTTCTGTGAATATCAGGAGCAACTATGCAAGTTTCAGAGTCAGAGAAAACAATCTCTTAAGTGTATTTTCAACAAATGACTCTGTTTTCGTACCACCATCACTTTCATTTCCAGAAACAAGAGTGCTCTCAATTCATGACACTTTCAGAGGCTCTGTGGTGACAAATTTCTCAGACCTCCCACTGCTAGTTTAAGGAACTTAACCACATTTCCTTTTGCTTTTCTAGGTCTAATTTTTTTCTCCCATTCTCTCCGTCATCGTGAAGTTGTATCAATTGCAAAACTTATTTCTTTTTTTATTTAGCTGTGACTGGTTAATCTTGGTCAACTTTACTGGATTAAGAAACATCTAAGACAGTGGTTCTCAACTTTGCTAACACTGCGACCCTTTAGCACAGTTCCTCATGGTGTGGTGACTCCCAACCATAAAACTATTTTCTTTGCTACTTCACAACTGTAACTTTGCTACTGTTATGAACCATAATGTAAAGATCTGAGTTTTCTAGGGGTCTTAGGTGACCCCTGTGAAAGGGTCATTTGACCCCCAAAGGGGTTGTAACTCACAGGTTTAGAGCCACTAATCTAAGAGATTAATGAAGCAAACCTCTGGTGTGTCTACAGGGTAGTTCCAGAGTCAAATTTATCCTAAGGGTTCTAACATATACTGGACAGACCAATCCTTTGACTGACACGTGGTGTGAAGGTATTATTGAAAGGTGGTAAAAGGTAGATGAGGCCTGGTGAGAAGTAGGTCAATGGTGGCTAGATCCTAGACTGTATCTTCTCCTGGCCTCTTCCTGTATCCTGCTTCATGTTCCTGCTGCCTTCATGCTTTATTTCACAATGAGCCCAGAAACCCAAAAGCAAATAATCATGGTCTACTGAACCTAGATTCCAAAATACTAATCAAGACGTCTGTCTTAAAGTGGCATATGTTGGGTGCTGCACCAGTGACAAGGGAGCCGTGAAGTTCAGCTGCACTGTCTGCCATCTCAGTCTGGATGTCCTCTCTCCCCCATCACTTACTGCTGCACTTCTGTACCCTCCACTGAGACTGTTGACTTTGCAATGCCAAGTACTGTACTGTACATGCAGGGCTGCTTCCTTGACTCTCTAGACGATCCCTTGGTGGATGTGACGTAAGCCATCATTTCTGCACTGATTTCATGATTTCTTCTCTTGACTTGTAGTGCAGAACATGTTCCAGCTTTTGTATTCACTCTAATGACCATCACTTTTCCTATGGTAAATACTAGTCTGTACTAGGGCTTAATACACTTCCTAGGTAAACAAATGCAAACGTTTAAGCATGTCTTTATGCCAACAATTCATAAATTCATTATTTTAGTCCAGACTTCCAACTTCAAAGCCTGAACATAAACTGCTTTTTCTTTCTTTGGTGACAGGTAATCACACGGCCCAGGCTGATCTCAAATTTTGGGTCCTCTCCCTGCCTCCCAAACAGGCACGTGCCACCACATCTGGTATCATAATGCCTTCTTGACATATCTATAGTTTGTGTGGGTGCATGCATGTATGCAGTGTATATTATGCATATGCACATATATGCGCAGACGTGCACGTGTGTAAACCACAGCATGTTTTCTTCTATTGTTCTCTATCCAGCTTTTTGAAACAGAGACTGGCTGAACCTGAGGCTCAGATTTAGCTCATCTGGCCAGGGAGTTGGGGAATCCACCTGTTTCAAACCCTAGTGCTGGGGTTACAGGTGTGCAGTGCCACAAGAGCTGCTTATATGAGAGCTAGGACCGTGACCTCAGGCTGGTCCTCACGCTCACACAGCAAGTGCCTGCCCAGTGAGCCATCTCTCCAGCCACCACATGACTCTTCTACAGGTTTCCAACAGCTGAATTGGAGCCCCTGACTGTTTCCAGCCCTCTGCTTCCCCCCTAACTTTCTCCTCAAGCTGATCTTCCTGTCTGTACACTCTGCAGTACCTAGGCACACACCAGCCCCATTTACATTCTGTTCTCCAAGCACCCAGTCATTTCTGTTCCCACTGCCAATGTAGCTTCTCTTCTCTTTCAGAGCCACACATGGCTCAGCACCCACCATTTCACTCACAACTAAAATGACTTTTTCAACACAGCCTTCTCTGACTAACCTTATGAAAGCCACCCTCAATCTATTGTCCACTTTAATTTTCCTGGTAGTACTAATGGTTTGTTTACTGCTTATCTTCCTTCAAATGGTATCTTCATGAGATAGAAAAAGCTTCAGTCTTATTAACCATCATAAAATCATAAATCAAAGTAATACATAAACAGTAACTACTGTATGGCAAATGTTCTGAGTTGGACTTCACACAAAAGCAAAAGTTTTTAAATAATGCTATGCCAAGCAATATCTAAGTTCTTTTACATATTTTTTTCTGGGAAAAATCAATACAATGGAAGATTACAGAATGCCTTTACCTTTTGCACTTTTTAGATCTTCAGAACGGATTCTCCAAAACCCACAAGCTCAAGGCCTTCCTCTGTATGACTGACCATCAGAATTCTATTTAAACAAGAAAATAATGTTAAATTTATCCAACTTATATAAAATTTTAACACAAAAACATTTTAACTAATTCTTAAAACACAGAAGATATAGAACTTTGTTATAAAAATAAACAATGAAATTGGAATTCTATAAACTGATTTCATAAAAAGAAAACAGTTTTAAAACTACAAACAAGGCCAGGGACCTAGGGGAAAACCAAATACTACTTGCTGACAGCATGTCAGGGGGGCAGCAGGTGATGGTTGAGGTTCAGGGTGTTGGCCCACCAGAAGGCAACCCCTGGTGGATAATTCTGTGTAAGGCAAGGCCTCTGAGACCACTGACTCCAGAATGTCTTTGGCTTTTGCTGTGTCTTTGCATGCTTGCTGCTGCTATCTCTCTCACTGATATCTGGCACAGCTGAACTGGGTGTTAGGAAATTCCCCACTGCCTGTAAGGTAATATGTTTATCTCATGGAAACTTCCTTTCTACTGGGCAGTTTTACCTACAAATTATTATGAAGATGATTTCCTCCCTAAGCTGTACAATCTAACTGATAATAATGTTAGCTTATACAGAGCTTTGACGAATAAAAGTATATACAAGGATATGTTTTACAGCTAAATACTTATGGGTTCTACCTTAGGAGCTTCTTTAGATTACAACTCAGGTTAATGATTAGGAGAAAACTGAATTCCCTGGAAGCCAGGCTAGCCTTAATTCTCTTAATACTAAAAAGATACAGTTACAGGTCTCAATGTGTGATGTGCATCATTTAGCTGAAACAAAGCCTTGCAATAACTTCAGGTTAGATCAGATGTTTTGACAATAACTTTAAGATGAAAAAAAACAAAAACCACAGAGAACAATCTAATGCCCATAAGAACACATAACTGAGGTTAAAAACACAAAGTAGCCCAACTGTTAAGGTTGGTTGTTGATCAAAGGTGTAGATTAACTTCTTGTACCCATTCTCGCCCTCAATCTCCTGATACAAGAAACTAGTGATAGATGGGTATACACCCTAAAGATCTGAAGTATAGCCAACTGATTGTCTTTTACATACAAAAGTTTAGGTTTGTGATTCCTCTAAGATTCCTTGTAATATTAACTCTCAAGATAGACAGTAGAACTTTGATTCTTTCTTTGCAGCCATGGTAGTTGGCTATGAAAAGATGCTGTCTACTCACATTCTGGTAACCTGCAATAAATTACTTAGACGTAAAAGTATATGGGATATTGGGATGACTGTGTTTTTAATTATGTAAGGGAGATGAAAAACATGTTAGCTGTACTCTGTAGGAATTTAGCAAAATCACTGTATGGGATAGAGATTAGAATGAATGGATGTTTTTTAGAAGTACCTGACCTGGAAGAATCCTTGTGGAAAACAATGATTATTTTGCTGAAGGGGCCTTGTAGCCATCCCATAACCCTGGTCACAGAACACCTCAGGCACATCTGTGTTGTTGTTTTTTACTCCTTTTTGGGGGGACCACCACCCAGCTACCAAATAAATCACTCATGGAGGCTTATTCTTACTTATAAATGCCCGGCCTTAGCTTAGCTTGTTTCTTGACAGCTTTCCTTAGCTTTAAATTATCCCATCTACCTTTTGCCTCTGGGCTTTTATCTTTCTCTATTTCTGTATATCTGTCTTTGTTACTCCATTGCTTGTTGTGTAGCTGGGTGGCTGGCCACTGATGTCCTCCTCCTTCTCTTTTTCCTTCTTCCTTTTTTCCCAGATTTCTCCTTCTATGTATTTTCTCTGCCTGCCAGCCCGATCCATCCTTTCTCCTGCCTTGCTATTGGCCATTCAGTTCTTTATTAGACCATCAGGTAGTTTAGATAGGCACAGTAACTCAGCTTCACAGAGTTAAACAAATGCAACATAAACAAAAGTAACACACCTTAAAATAATTCTACAACACACCTGGGACTCCTGTACTATTGTGTACTGCACACAATGCATAATGAAGGGCTGGAGTGATGGAGGCATGGGATGCTCCGCGTCAGCCAGACATGTAAATTCAGGTTGAGGACCTTAGTATGAGGAAATACTTTATGTAACAATCTAAAAGCACACTTTTGCATGGCTGTTCACCCCCAAAGCCAAACCCAAGCCAGCCCAATGAGTCCAGCAGAAGAGGCTGATGAATAAAGAAGGAAATGATCAAGAGAATGTGTGTTTCTTCTCTAACCCCCTCAGATGGAAAAAGTCTTAGCTTTGCCAGTGATGTGGATTCCCTCTGAGGCCCGAATGCCTAGAGGCTGGTCCACTAGACAGCAGCAACTACTGTTCTGCTAAAGGAACATATCTATAAAATGACTCCTATCAACATTTGGCTATAGTCATAGATCGGTGTCTTACTTAACCATCATCAGAGAAGCTTCCTCCTGCAGCAGATGAAAAGAAATACAGTGACCCAAAGGTAGACAATATGAAGAGAAAGACCTGGAACACTCAGTCCTCAATGAAATGTCTCCATCAAATCCCTCCCCTCAGGGCTCAGGGAACCCTGGGGAAGAGGAGAAAGAAAGAGTGTAAGAGCCAGAGCGGATGAAGATCACCAAGGAAATAAGGCATTTTAAATACAATGGGCCAATGGACATAAGACATCACAGAGGCTGTGGAAGCATGCACAGGTCTTGCACAAGTCTTTACCAGATGGGATCCCAAAGCTGGGAGGAGAAATGGGACACAAGCCCCCACCCCTAACCTAGAAGCTATGTGCAATTGATAACCACTCAAAAATGAAAAATCACTTCTCTCCAATGGAGTCTGGGATATAAAGCACTCTTAAGGGCAGGCCCCATGCCAGCAGTAGATAGCCAACAGAGAGTGAACTCAATGGCATTTTGAAGGTTCTCTGTCTCATAAGGTTTTGACAAGGCATTTTATTTTTAATGTTACAGGTTCTTTGATATTACAGCTTCTGGTTTTATGTTTTTAGGGAATTCTTGTATGAACATGTATGTCTCTGCATCTTCCTGTGTATGTTGTACTTTTTCTTTGGCTATTTTTCTTCTGTTTGCTTTGTCCTATTCTATTTGCTTGTTTTTGCTTTATATTATTATTATTATTATTGTTATTATTTAGATGCCTGTGAGCAGAAAGGGTGTGGATTCTGATACGAAGGGAGGTGTGGGGAATCTCAGAGGAGCTGAGGGGGAAATCAGATTTAGAATATATTATCTGAAAAATCTCTTTTTAATAAAAAGAAAGGGAAAAAAGAACACAGAACAAAATATAAGCAAGATAAATCACTTTTAATTCTCTACAGAAACTGAACCACAGGTATTTTTAAAAACTACACAAGATCCTAATGAACATACAATATAAATAAATATAAGGTGTGACTTCAGTAGCATAAAGCAAGAGGAAGAGTAAATGACTTGAATTTCTGCATGCAATTCAAAAGAAAAATGAAAACAGTGAAAGCACAATAATGTAAAAAGAACGTAAGAAATGCAGAGGAAGCCAGCAAGGAGAAGAGGAGAGCTAGTGAGCTGGAAAACAAGGAATCCCACTAACGTAAAGATTATGTCCTAGAGTGAGAGACAGAGAGTAGCTGAATGAACTCAAAATGAGGAATATCCAACCATACATTATCTTAAGACTCACTTCAGATTTATAAGTACACACAGACTAGAACTAAGAGGACAGAGAGGTACTCCACACCGGGCAGGTGGCAAACAAAACCAGGGCAAAACCAGGGCATATGTGGCCACACTTGCACTACACAAAACAGACTTGAAGAAAAAAACCGTCATGAGATAAGGACACAAGTGTCACTTTACTCAAAAGCTACAGCAATTACAAATGTATACTCCCAACAACAAAGCATCTAAATATAAGAAGCAGAGTGAAGGGAAATAAAACAATAAGTTTCAATAAAGGACAGATCATTCTGCTGAAAAACAAAAGCAGACTTACATTATAGACCAAATATACATACAAAGAATACTTCATACACAGCCACATAATGCACACTCTGCTCAAATGCACTGAGAAAATCTGTAGAAGAGGTCGCATGTTAGATCATAAAGTGAGTTTTAACAAATTTAAGTCTGAAGTACTCTTTCTAATCACAAGAGAATAAAAACAGAAATTTACAAATGTGCAAATTTAATAGCACACTATTAGAAAACCAAAGGGCTAAAGACCAAATCAAGAGTGAAATTATCAAGTATGTTGAGACAAACAAAGCACATCAAAATGCATGAGTATAACCATTTCAGAGCAGTATTTAAATACCCACAATAAAAACTAGCACACTGAGAGCGCAGCTCTGTGATGGGCACTTGCCTGATGCTCTCACAGCCTTGGGTCCAACATCCAGCTCTGAAAAAAAGAAAATTAAGAAACCTCAAAGAACCAGAAAGAGAAACAACCAAGTCTGTAGTCTACAGAAGGAAGGAAATAAACATCAATCAGAAAATCAACAAAGCTAGGCCTTAAAAAAAAAAATCAAATGAACTGATGCACCTTCAATTTTATTAAGTAGATTCAGATAAACCAAATCAGAAATAGAAGACAGTTTAACTGAAGCCACAGATACCGGACTGTAAGACATTACTATAACAACAACAAACTAGACAAAAAAAAAAAATTTGGATAAATTCCTACACATATACAACCTATCAAGACATAAACATGAATGGAATGTGAACAGATAAGTATACTGACCCAATAATCAAAAACTACTCATAAAGAAAAACAACCCAACTGGCTTCACTGGTTCTATCAAAACCATGACTGAGTTAACACCTTTTCTCCTCAAACTCTTCCAAAAAACTTCAACAATGATACAAAGTGATTCTACAAAGCCAGCATGATCTTCTTAACAAAAATCCAAAGGAGAATCGGTCAGAAAGGCAGAGGAGAGTCCAATATGCCCATGACAGTTAGCACTAATTGTCCACTTTACAGGATGCAGTCTCCCCTAGGAGGTTAAGTCTGGATGCACCTGTGAGGGACTCTCTAGATTTAGGTGACTGAGGTGCTAAGACCCACTATGATGTGAGCAGCACCATCCCCTGGGCTGGGGTCCTGGACTGCATGAAAAGGAAAAAGGTAGTTGATCAGAAGAGCTTTCTTCCTGTCTACTTCCTGACTGTGGATGCAATGTGAACAGCTGCCTCAAGCTCTGGCTGACATGCTTACTCCACTAAGCACTCTATGAACTGAGTTACAGACCAGCCAGGAATATGCTCTTCTTAATGGGCAGCGTGTGGCTCAGTTGGTAGAGTGCTTGCCTATGAAGCATGAAGCCCTGGTTTGGTGTCACATCTAATAACCCAGGCATGACAATGCATGTTTGGAATTCTAGCACTCAGGAAGTGACAGCAGGAGGATAAAAGGCATCCTCTCTCAGCTTCATAGTAAGTTCAAGGCTAGCCTGGGCTACACCAGACTCTGACTTTTAAAATGGGGAGGAGGGGATTGAGACACATAAATAGTTTGAAAATATACAGATACTTTGATCCAATAATTTTATTTGGGGAAATAAACCATCAGAGAGGCATCCTAAGTTTTATATTCACCAAAATATTACTTAAAGTAAAGCTAGAAAAAACTGTATGTCTAATTGTACTTACAGTGGCACCAAAACATAAAACCAAAGTTACAGCACATGATGGCTTCTGAGATATTTTATGGATAATGGTTTTCACATTTTCAATACATTCTAAAATTTCCTTCATAAATGTGCATTCTTTTTATAATTAGAAAGCTGCAGTATTCTTTTTACCCTTTATGAATTAGGTGTCTATACTACAGTTCTGCCTACATTTAAGAAAAAAGAAAATACATGCTATTTATTCCAGAAAACAAAAACATGAGCAAAAAATTAATTTCCTATGTCTTTACATCATTTAAAGAAGGGGAGTCTTTTTTTTTTTTGGTTTTTCGAGACAGGGTTTCTCTGTGTAGGTTTGCGCCTTTCCTGGGAAGGGGAGTCTTTTAATTGATTTAATTATTGCTAATTATCAAAGACAACTCAAAAAATTAAGTTAAAAACTAAAACTATAAATTTTCTATAATTTATATAATTAAAACTGTATTTTTTCTAATCAAATAACCTATTGATTCATGACCTACTTTAGAATTTTGTCTGTTAAATTTGGTATCACAAATTTTGTTTCCTGATATAAACATGAATCAAAAGCAGTAGTGCTAAAGAGTTTTAACTGATACGATATAAAACTCAAGTAATCCTCTTTAAAAACCACACCTCAAACCAGGTTTATGAATAAAGCCTTGAGTGGCACCATAGAAGATTCCTCCTAGTGACACTAGAATGCTAAACTTATCAAATGTCAAAGAACAATAATTTCTGAAACATTAAACAAACCAAAAAAAAGTAACAAGTTCTCTTAGTAAAACAGAAGACCATTTCAACAATTCAACTAACACATCTCTACAAATATTATCTAAGCTCCATTTGTATAGTGTCCAAATAAATATGAGAACCTATTTCCTCTTCTAAAACACTACTTCTAAGGCATGTTAAAAAAAAGACATTAATTTCTTAATGCACATTAAAAATGATGTGATGTGATTCTGAAGTGTGAAACAGATATCCAAACTTAACTAAACCACAGATTTTGTACGAGTCCATTAACTTAAAAAGTCAAATATGTATACATATTCATTATATATTCATATCCATCCCATCAATGAGGCTATACTTGAATTATCACCCAAAGTAAATAAACCTTTTTTCAAGGCTTGAATATTCCTCTGAATATTTTGCAGTATAATCACTAAAATGACAGTTGCTTTGATTTATTAAAACTTGGAGCCGGGTGGCAGTGGCACACACCTTTAATCCCAGCACTGGGAGGCTAGAGCCAGGCGGATCTCTTTGAGTTCGAGGCCAGCCTGGTCTACAGAGCAAGATCTAGGACAGGCACCAAAACTACACAGAGAAACCCTGTCTCAAAAAAACAAAAAACCCAAAAAACAAAAAGACAAAAAAACTTGGGTTACCTGCCAAATCAGTTTTGTACAACCAAGTAAGCCAAGCAAATTCACAGCCATCTGACTAGTTCAAATAAACATTCTAAACCACAGATTATTTAGAACATAATGGCCATAATATTTTCTCTTCACTAAAATAATTACTATACTTATTTTTCTTAAGACAAAATTAACATCTTTGAAGATATAAGATTTACAATCTGACTTACACACATTACCCATCTCTGTTTACATATATAAATATCTCCTAATGTACCGTCAAAGCTTTCAAATGAAAACGTATACAAGGGTAGATTTAGTCCCTCGGATGACAATTATTTTAATCCGCTCACTGATGACTTTGTCTTCAGCCTTCATAAGTGATAAAGTATGAGACAATGGCGAGCAATGGCCCCCTCTGCATCTGTGCGGGGTGACAAGGCAGCTCTCTGCAGCCGCTAAGAAGCAGTGAGTGAGGAGCATGCAGCTGTGCAGACAGCACACTACTCCATGAGCAGAAAGCAGAGGTCACCACGTGAACCTAAGGCATAATGC